TTAAAACAAACTCCTATGTCTTGCTAAAAAGTTACTGGAAAGTTAGTTTTCTCATATTTGAAGTGAACTAAGATATTTGCACTAAAAAAATGACCAAAAATACTTGGTAGGATTTTCTGTTTCTACAAGGAGAAACCACATGCGAGTCCATCCAAAATGCAAAGTTTCCCGTTTGGTTACAGGAAATTAAACACCTGTACAGTGTGTTTATCTGCCCTACACCAGACATCCAGCAGAGTTGTAGTTTTTCAGGTTGTGTTTTTGCAGTGTACAGTGTGTTTTCGGTGCGTCACAGATGGCTGGCTGTGCCAGACGGAGTGACCTGCAGTAACCTTCGTCCCACAGGAACAGAGGACGGTTATAGCAGCGACTCGGCCTCCCTCCTTTTAGAACGAGGAGGACAAAACGGATTTAAAAAAAGAAAAGACAGCGGAAAGCAAGGAAGCAAGGCGGCGGAGGGAGGGAGAGGGGAAGAGAGGGAGGAAAGAGTGGTCAGATTCACAATGAGGGCCTTTGTGCAGCGAGGACGGGGCTCCCTGGCTTCCCTTCCCAACTCTCTCTCTTTTCTCCCGTTCCTCCCATCCGTCCTCTCCTCCTTTGACGACTCTGCAGAGTCATGCACACATAACAGTCTGGCTGCAGCTGGGTCGGAGCCAGAGCTGATGTGAACGCGACACATCCTCCCCGTCTCTGCTTATGTCTCTGATCTGTGCGCTAACAGGTGGATTCAGAACATCTACGATCAGGAAATAAAAAATATGAAAGCAGAGCCGTTAATTTGACTCTGACACGGCAAAAACACAAATTTACCAAGCATTTTTTGTCTGGTCTGTAAATGTCTTAATGCTGTTAAAATAAGGCAAAGCTAACTTGCAAGTAACTCTTCAGAAACGTATCAGAGTTTAAGTCAATAATTTCTTAATATTGATTTTAAAAATTTACTAATTATTTGAACTAAAACATTTTCATCAATATTCATGAATTATTGACTTATGCTGCTGATATTAACAATTTATATTGTAACAGTTATGAACATAATAATGCTGATGATGGGTGATTGATAACTAAGGTAATAAATAATATAAAACTAATTATAAAATGTAGATGCAGCTTTTTTTTAACCTGGCATCTGATTAACTTTTGAAAACATTACAAGCTTTTCTGGTATTTTGTATCAAAATTCTCAGTTTTACTTGAAGAAATCAGGAACAATCATTAGACTGGACTAAATTCTACATTATTTATTGCTTCCTGTTGTTTTTATTTGGTGAAAATATTTTGTTTTTCTACAGATCATCAGTTTCCAGTGACGGAGCCGGACATCAACAATCGCCTCGAGTCGTTGTGTTTGAGCATGACAGAACACGCTTTGGGAGGTTAGACTTTTATTTTCACTGCAACATTTACAAACAAAAACAAACAAACATGCAGCACAAACACTGAGCGCACTCAAAAACCAACACGCCTGCTTTTACTTAGTTATTTTAATGGGATGTACTGCAAAAACACAAAATCTTGCAGAGTATTTTTGTCTGGTTTCTAGTGAAAATATTTAAGTACACAAAACTAACAAGTAACTTTCCAGCAAGCTATAGGAGTTTGTTTTAAGTAAATATTTCCTTAATATAAATTTTAAACATTGGCAGATTATTTTATTAATAACATGACATTTTTCCATGTTATAATTAAAATATTGAAACTGTTCAAATAACAGCAAAATGGTTTTTGGTATCAATTAAAATATTACCAAATAAATTAAACTAAACATTTTAAATTATGTTTTTAAGGGTAATTAAATGTTATTTATCTGAACGTGAATCAGTTTTAGGTCAGTTAGATTTATCAAAATTATTTTTGTTTGCTAAATGCTGGAGAAGTTAGTGAGAACATTTATTTATTTTAGATTTTTTTTATTTTTTATTTTTTCATTTTATTTATACTGCACTGTAAAAACACAAAATCTTACCAAAAACCGTTCCAGTTCCACTGGCAGATTGTTTCACTTATAAAATGGAAAAAATGTTTTCAGTGAAATAATCTGCCAGTGAAGCTGGAACTTTTTCTTGAATATTGGGGAATTATTAACATAACTCAATCTCCTATATGCTGCTGATAAATTACTTGACCAATTAGACCAAATACTATTCAGTATTTAGTTTTTCCAGTGCAGCCTGATGAGTTTTCCTCTGCGGCTCCATTAGAGGCAGCAGCTGTCCGTCTGTTTTCACAGATGTGTCGTTTCCTCAGCAGGACCGTTTGTCTCTTCGCTGCTCAGCACTTCGGTCTTCAGACTTTAACACGGCGAAGCGTTTGGTTGGGAACTGGGGAAAAATTAAACTTTAGTTTTTCTGTAACTTATGATGGCCTCGTTCAAACTGATGTTACTGTAAAATTTGATCTTATTTCCACATAGTTACATCTTAATAAGAAAAGAAGCTTCAGATCAGATAACTGACACAAAATCAGAGGTTTTACAGCTTCACTCTGTTACATTTATTCTAATGTTACAGCTTTACTCTAATGTTACATTTATTCTAATGTTACAGCTTTATTCTAATGTTACATTTATTCTAATGTTACATTTATTCTATTACATTTATTCTAATGTTACAGCTTTACTCTAATGTTACAGCTTTACTCTAATGTTACATTTATTCTAATGTTACATTTATTCTAATATTACATTTATTCTAATGTTACATTTATTCTAATGTTACAGCTTTATTCTCTTAATATTTTGTTATGGCCTTGATATTCCATCATTAGTTTCTGTTGTGTTATTTATAAACATATCTAAGTTTATTAACGTGATAAAACCAGAATTTTCTGTTTATTAAGTCAGCATTTTACACAGCTGACACAGAATAATGTAAATGTTTTTTAGTGACGATTAAGACGTTAAATCCCGAACTTCTCTCCCGGTTAGATGGTGCAGATCGCACATCAACGATATGAGGTCATCGGGGCGCCGCAGGTTCTCCTCAAAGCCAGCCGGAGGTCGCCGGTCCTCCCGCCCCCCTCCCCGCAGCGCTCCACCGCCGGACCGGACCGGGCCGGACCTCGGAAACACTCGCAGGTTGGTCAGCGAACAGCCAACGCAGCCCATCATCCATCGGGTCGGACAGAAACAGACTTCCTCCTCCGTCCGAGAAGGAAAAGCATCAAAGCCAGCGATGGACGGCGCCTGACTGGCGCCCCCAGTGGAGGCGAGCGGAAGGGCAACACCGGCCTGTGGATCGGGCCGACCGGATGAAACATGGCGTCTTCCGCGTCAGTAATGTTACCTCAGACGAGACGAGCAGAACCGCCGCGTTCGGGTCGGGATTCTCGGACCGATCGAACGTCCGGCGCTTCGTAAACGTTGGCGCCGCGACTCTGTGAGTTTTTAGCCGACATCTTGTTTCTGCGTCCGTATTGTTTACACGACGATGCTGCTGTCGGAAGGCGCGCTCGTTTTCAGGAAGCGCGCGAAGCTTTACGTCCCGCAGGCAGCCATCGAACCAGTTTACAGCAAACGTCTCCTTTATCAAGCGACGGCGAGCTGCGAGGTTTTAACGGAGAGAACGACGGGAGGAAGTGCAGCCGAGGAGGATGTTGAAGAGCAGCAGCGTCAAACTCACAAATTTATCAATAAAACTACGTACATTCAAAAACACAAAACGTTACCAGGTATTACTGTCCAGTTTCTACTGCAAACATCTGTAAACATGAAATGAGACTAACTTACATGTTGGCAACATTTAGTTTTAAGTCAATGAATCCAAAATATTGATGAAAAAGTTCCACTGGCGGTTTTTCCCTTCTCAAATGGGAGAAATGTTTTGTTATAAGTGGAATAATCTCCCTGGAAAACTGGAACTTTTTCATCAATATTTTGGATTTATTTACTTAAAAAAAAACTCCACGTTTTGCTACATTTGTTAGTTTCCTCTACAATATTTGCTCTACAAACTGGACAAAAATACTTTAGGATTTTTTGATGAGTTGTTAAAAGATTGCAGCCCCATTTGATTTCTACTGCATAAAATTAAATAATAGTAAATATCTTTGAACAATGATGGAATTTGGCTTTATACAAACTAATTTAGTAGGCTGATAAAAGTATATTTAAACACGCAGTTGTTAAAGTTAATTTATGTGGCCCTCTAGAGTCTGCAACCTGCAGCTCCTAATATCTGACTAAAAGTAATTAGATTTAAGATTAGATGTAACAGATGCTGGTTTTTACAACAGTTTATTAACGGTAATGTAGATAGAATAAAAAAGAGTGAATTTCTGTCAAAAATCTCTGAAATTTTCTAGAAAAACTTTTTAAACATTTTTAGCTCTTAAAACTCAGAAAATTTCCAAGTTTTTTCTAGAAAATATGTGAAATTAATCTCAGCATTTCTGAGTTTTTTTCTTGCAAATTGTCTAATTTTAGAGCTGAAGAATTTCCATAATTTTTCTTTTGGTTGTAAAAGTTGCAGACTTCTCGTCTAGAGGGCCAAATAAATAGCTACAGCGTGCCAGATTTGGCCCATGTGCCTTGAGTTTGACACACGCATGTTGTAGAGGAAGGAATGAAGCTGAAGTGATGCTGAAGAGGGGGAAGAGGATGTTTGAAGAGGCCGGACCTCTGAAGGAGGAGGAGGATGAAGTCATGTGAGCGAGGGCAGCAGGAAGTGGATTAGTTCGTCTAAATTTTAATGTTTGCAGGAAAACGCAGGAAATCTCGTGAACGGGAGACGATCGGAGCGTGTTGGGATGTTGGGCAATCTCGTTGAGCCGCATGTCGCAAAAAAAGTGTGAAAACAAACTGGTCAATCCATGAAGGGTAGTTCTCCCAGAGATTGTCTGATTAGTGCTTACCTCCACCTGCTGGCCAGACGCAGTCATTGCAGCTGCGTGTCTTTGCTTCATCAGCAGAGGCCGTCATAGAATATATTATCTTTATTATTATTTTTATTTTGCGTCTTAATATTTATCCCAATTTGCTTCCATCTGGAATAAACTTCCACTAAGGAAATGTGCAAATAACCTGGTGAATCCAGACCAGTTTCTTTAATAATTACACTGCAAAAACTAAATGTTACCAAGTATTTTGAGTCTGGTTTCTAGTGCAGATATCATACAACACCTGAAATAAGAGAAAAACTAACTGAACTTTTCACCAAGAAACAGCAGCTTTAGGTAGATAATTCATTAAGTTCTAGTTGCAAAAAACATTTTCTACTTCTAATTATAAGTTATATCTAGTTTTAGCTCAAATGGTAAAATTATAGCTGGTAGTTATAACTACAGGTAAAGCTATTCTAGTTTTGCTATTAGCATCAGTTATAGCCACTCGCTGCTGTTGTAATTTATTTCTAGTAATTCTAGAATAATTTATTTCTCCACTGTCAGATTATTTCACTTACAACTAGAACTTTTCATCAATATTAAGGATTATTTACTTAAAGCAGGCTCCTATTTCCTGCTGAAAAGTTTCTGTAAATTAGTTTTGTCTAATTTAAGAATACTGAGGTATTTTCACTAGAAACTAGACTCAGAATGCTTGGTAATGTTTTCTGTTTTTGCAGTTTAGGGTTTATTGTTGTAATTTCATAGTATTTTCTTTGCATCCTGCACTTGATAATGTGACTCACTAAAGTTCAGAACCATCTGAGCTCTTATTGTTTTCTCTTCATCTAAACTCAGAGACTGGAGCTCAAAATGTTTTCTTTTATGCCACAGCGGCCATTTTATCTCTGGTTTTCTCTGAGTTTTAACAAAGTCTCCTGCTGCTTGGATGAAACGGCTTCGTTCAGACGTGGCCAGCATTCGGCCCGCCGATCCGATTGCACAGGACGGCGCTAAATTCAGGTGTGAAAGAATGCAAGGCGGCTCGTCCTGGACTATTTTAGCACTAGCTAAAGAACCTGCAGGCCTGACACGCAGTGGAGAACCAGGTTTCGCCCAGAGGAGGCCGAGCAGCCAGAAGGCCGTCCAAGAGTAACGCGACATTTTTACTCAAGTAAAAAAGTAAAAAGTTGCCGTCCAAGAAATTACTCAATTAAGAGTTAAAAAAAAATGCTACAAAGTTTGCTCAAGTACTAAGTAACTGGTAAAGTATCCTTCATTTAATGTTTAAAAATTACATCATCAGATGCAGCACACATTGAAATTTGGAAAACGTTGAATATTTTTTACTTTTGGAAATTTTGTGAGTTTCAAGAGTCGAATATTTTTAACTTTAAAACTCAGAATATTTTCATCTTCTATTACCTCAAAATGTCTTTTTTTTTTTTTTTTTTTTTTTTTAGGAAAATTTAATAATTTTTGAGTTTTTTAAAAATTTCAAAAATTCAAAAA